ATAGAAGGTCAGAGGTGAGCTATGGAAGGTCACAGTTCAGGTCATGGAAGGTCAGAGGTCATGTGACAAGGTCACAGGTCAGGGGATGGAAGGTCAGAGGTGCGATTTGGAAGGTCAGAGGTCAGGTGATAGAAAGTCACAGGTCACGTGATGGAAGGTCACAGGTCAGGTCATAGAAGGTCAGAGGTGACCTGTGGGAGGTCACAGATCCGGTCATGGAAAGTCAGAGGTCATGTGACAGAAGGTCACAGGTCAGATGATGGAAGGTCAGAGGTGAGATTTGGAAGGTCAGAGGTCACGTGATGGAAGGTCACAGGTCAGGTCATGGAAGGTCAGATGTCATGTGACAAAAGGTCACAGGTCAGGTGATGGAAGGTCAAAGGTGAGATTTGGAAGGTCAGAAGTCAGGTGATAGACGGTCACAGGTCAGGTGATGGGAGGTCACAGGTCAGGTCACGGAAGGTCACAGGTCGAGTCACAGGTCGGGTAACGAAGGTCACAGGTCATGTGACAGAAGGTCACAGGTCAGATGATGGAAGGTCAGAGGTGAGATTTGGAAGGTCAGAGGTCACGTGATGGAAGGTCACTGGTCAGGTCACGGAAGGCCAGAGGTCATGTGACAAGGTCACGGGTCAGGTGACGGGAGGTCACAGGTCAGGTCACATAAGGTCACAGGTCGGGTCACGGAAGGTCAAAGGTCACCCACGACACACACGTGCACATCGCACGTGTTACATGGGATTGATGACATCACACGCGTGATCACATGTACTTGATTCCTCCCTCCCCCCCCCAGAGGTACCCGTGTCCGTCTGTCTGTCTGCCTCAGTGGTCCTGAATGTCACCTCGCTCTTCCTTTCTTCTTCTTCTCTCCCCCCCCCGTCCAGGTCCACCTGGGAGACGTTCCCCTCCGGCCGGCGGTGGGTGGAGGTCTCCGGGCGCCATCTTGGTGGACGTTGGGGTCCTGACCAGGGGCCCCTCCTGGCAGGGAGGGGCCTGTGCTTTGGTGGGCCCATTGTCCCCCTTCTGGGGGTGGGGTTCCCCCCTCTCCCCGCCCGGGACGGCCTTCCCGGGGCCGTATTTTGCTCTTGGAGCGTCGGGAGCACTGTGCGAGGAGTCCACCCTGGCTTTTCTCCCCCCTCTGTGGGCTTCCTGGGGTTGAATTTAGCTCCTGGAGCGCCGTGAGCACTGTCTGAGGAGTCCACTTCCTGTTTTGAGCCCTCGTACGGCCTTCCCGGGGCCGTATTTTGCTATTGGAGCTTCGTGAGCACTGTTTAAGGAGTCCACTTCCTGTTCTCTCCTGCTCTATAGCCTTCCTGGGGCTGTATTTTGCTCTTGGACCATCGTGAGCACTGTCTAAGGAGTCCACTTCCTGTTTGCTCCTGCTCTATAGCCTTCCTGGGGCTGCATTTAGCTCTTGGACCATACTGAGCACTGTCTAAAGAGTCCACTTCCCCTTTTCTTCCCACGTATGGCCTTCCCCAGGCTGACTTTGGCTCCTGGACTATAGTGAGCACTGTCTAAGGAGTCCACTTCCTCTTTTGAGCCCCTGTACAGCCTTCCTGGGGCTGTATTTGGCTCTTGGACCACTGTGAGCACTGTTTCAGGAGTCCACTTCCTGTTTTGAACCCCTGTACGGCCTTCCCGGGGCTGTATTTGGCTCTTGGACCACTGTGAGCACTGTTTCAGGAGTCCACTTCCTGTTTTGAACCCCTGTATGGCCTTCCTGAGCCTGTATTTTGCTACTGGAGCATATTGAGCACTGTTTCAGGAGTCCACTTCCAGTTTTCTCCTACCGTACGGCCTTCCCGGGGCTGTATTTTGCTATTGGAGCGTATTGAGCACTGTTTCAGGAGTCCACTTCCTGATTTCTCCTACCGTACGGCCTTCCCCAGGCCGTGTTGAGCTCTGGGGGCGTAGTGAGCACTGCCTAAGGAGTCCACTTCCTCTTTCAGGCCCTCGTACGGCCTTCCTGGGGCCACCTTTTAGCTCCTGGGGGGCGCAGCGAGCACTGTAGAAGGAGTCCACTCTTCCCCCACGCAGCGCGTCTCAGCCCAGGCTCACAGGTCCGATGCCATGGAGGGCCGCGTGGCCTGGTGGACCTGGACCCTGTGCCTGGTGGTGACCCCGTCCACCCTGGGGGGTCAGGGGTCGGAGGACGACCCCGTGGTGCGCACCCAGTACGGCCACCTGCGCGGCCTGAGGGCCTCGCTGCCCAGCGAGCTGCTGGGCCCCGTCCAGCAGTTCCTGGGGATCCCCTACGCCGCGCCCCCCGTGGGCCCACGGCGGTTTCTACCCCCCGAGCCCCCCACGGCCTGGCCGGGCATCCGTAACGCCACCCACTTCGCCCCCGTGTGTCCCCAACGCCTGGACGAACGGACGCTGCCCAGGGACATGCTGCCCAGCTGGCTCAGCGCCAACCTGGAGACCGTGGCCGGACTCCTGAGGGAGCAGAGCGAAGACTGTCTCTTCCTGAACGTCTACGTGCCCACCGAGGACGGTGAGCGATGGGGGGAAGGATGAGGAGAAAGATGGGTGGATGGATGGGTGGAAGGAAGAGTGGAAGGAAGAGTGGAAGGATCATTGGATGATGGGTGGAAGGATGGGTGGATGGATGGGTGGAAGGATGAGTGGATTGAAGAGTGGAAGGATCATTGGATGATGGGTGGAAGGATGAGTGGAAGGATGAGGAGAAAGACGGGTGGATGGATGGGTGGAAGGATGAGGAGATGTTGGTTTGATGGATGGGTGGAAGGATGAGTGGAAGGATGGGTGGAAGGATGAGTGGAAGGATGGGTGGATGGATGAGTAGATAGATGGGTGGATGGATGAGTGGAAAGATGATTGGATGATGGGTGGAAGGATGGATGAATGGATGGGTGGATGGATGAGTGGATGGATGGATGGATAGATGGGTGGAAGGATGAGTGGAAGGAATGGTGGAAGGATGACGAGAAAGATGGGTGGAAGGATGAGTGGAAGGATGAGTGGATGATGGGTGGATGGATGATGAGATGTTGGGTTGATGGATGAGTGGAAGGATGAGTGGAAGGATGACTGGAAGGATGAGTGGATTGAACAGTGGAAGGAAGAGTGGAAGGATCATTGGATGATGGGTGGAAGGATGAGTAGAAAGATGGGTGGAAGGATGATTGGATGATGGGTGGAAGGATGAGTGGAAGGATGAGTGGATTGAAGAGTGGAAGGATCATTGGATGATGGGTGGATGGATGATGAGATGTTGGGTTGATGGATGGGTGGAAGGATGACTGGATTGAAGAGTGGAAGGAAGAGTGGATTGAACAGTGGAAGGAAGAGTGGAAGGATGAGTGGAAGGATCATTGGATGATGGGTGGAAGGATGAGTGGAAGGAGGAGTGGCTAGATGGGTGCATGGATGATGAGATGTTGGGTTGATGGATGGGTGGAAGGAAGAGGAGAAAGATGGGTGGAAGAATGATTGGAAATTGGGTGGATGGATGGGTGGAAGGATGAGTGGATTGAACAGCGGAAGGATGGGTGGATGGATGGGTGCATGGATGATGAGATGTTGCGATGATGGATGGGTGGATGGATGAGTAGAAAGATGGGTGGAAGGATGGGTGGACATGCTGCCCAGCTGGCTCAGCGCCAACCTGGAGACCGTGGCCGGACTCCTGAGGGAGCAGAGCGAAGACTGTCTCTTCCTGAACGTCTACGTGCCCACCGAGGATGGTGAGCGATGGGGGGAAGGATGAGGAGAAAGATGGGTGGAAGGATGAGTGGAAGGAAGAGGGGAAGGATGAGGAGAAAGATGGGTGGAAGGATGAGTGGAAGGATGAGTGGATGATGGGTGGATGGATGATGAGATGTTGGGTTGATGGATGGGTGGAAGGAAGAGGAGAAAGATGGGTGGAAGGATGATTGGAAATTGGGTGGATGGATGGGTGGAAGGATGAGTGGATTGAAGAGTGGAAGGATGGGTGGAAGAATCATTGGATGATGGGTGGAAGGATGAGTGGAAGGATGAGGAGAAAGATGGGTGGATGGATGGGTGGAAGGTTGATGAGATGTTGGGTTGATGGATGGGTGGAAGGATGGGTGGAAGGATGGGTGGAAGAATGAGTGGAAGGATGGGTGGATGGATGAGTAGAAAGATGGGTGGATGGATGGGTGGAAAGATGATTGGATGATGGGTGGAAGGATGGATGAATGGATGGGTGGATGGATGAGTAGAGGGATGGATGGATAGATGGGTGGATGGATGGGTGGACATGCTGCCCAGCTGGCTCAGCGCCAACCTGGAGGCCGTGGCCGGACTCCTGAGGGAGCAGAGCGAAGACTGTCTGTTCCTGAACGTCTACGTGCCCACTGAGGACGGTGAGCGATGGGGGGAAGGATGAGGAGAAAGATGGGTGGAAGGAGGAGTGGATGGATGGGTGGATGGATGATGAGATGTTGGGTTCATGGATGGGTGGATTGAAGAGTAGAAGGATGGGTGGAAGGATGATTGGAAATTGGGTGGATGGATGGGTGGAAGGATGAGAGGAAGGATGAGTGGATTGAAGAGTGGAAGGATGGGTGGAAGGATCATTGGATGATGGGTGGAAGGATGGGTGGAAGGATGAGTAGAAAGATGGGTGGAAGGATGAGGAGATGTTGGGTTGATGGATGGGTGGAAGGATGGGTGGAAGGATGAGTGGAAGGATGGGTGGATGGATGAGTAGAAAGATGGGTGGATGGATGGGTGGAAAGATGATTGGATGATGGGTGGAAGGATGGATGAATGGATGGGTGGATGGATGAGTGGATGGATGGATGGATAGATGGGTGGATGGATGGATGGGTGGGTGGATGGGTGGATGGATGGATGGATGGATGGATGGGTGGATGGATGGGTGGAAGGATGAGGAGAAAGATGGGTGGATGGATGGGTGGATGGATGGATGCGTGGATGAGTGGAAGGATGAGTGGATGATGAGTGGATGGATGGATGGATGGATGGGTGGATGGATGGATGTATGGATGGGTGGATGGATGGATGGGTGGGTGGATGGATGGATGGATGGATGGGTGGATGGATTGATGGGTGGATGGATGGGTGGGTGGATGGGTGGATGGGTGGATGGATGGATGGATGGGTGGGTGGATGGATGGATGGATGGATGGATAGATGGGTGGATGGATGGGTGGATGGATGGGTTTATGGGTGGATGGATGGATGGATGGATGGGTGGATGGATGACTAGAAACATTGGTGGATGGATGAGGGGAAGGTTGAGTGGAAGGATGGCGGGAAGGATGAGGAGAAAGATGGGTGGTTGAATGGGGGGAAGGATGGTTGGATGATGGGTGGAAGGATGGGTGGATGGATGGATGGATGGGTGGATGGTCTCCCAGGGTTCTTGTTCCTGGGGGAAGAGCAAAGCTTGTATTATTATTGATGATTGATTACTGATCACTCATGGGGATGGATCAGGTTTGTAGTTCCTTCTCCTTCTCCCTTCGATGTGTTTTCCCTGCCTCAGTGGTCCTGGGGATGATGGGCATCGCGTCCATCTCCATGGCGTCTGTCTGTCCCGCTGGGCTGTGGGGTGGATCTCTCCTCGGTTGATGTCCACGCGATGGGTGATCAATGGATCCGATTGGTTGTCACGGAGCTGATGTGGTGGCGTTTGCGTCTGTGGATCTGTTGTTTCCTGCTGGTTATTGATCGGTTATTGATCGGTTATTGGTTGTTGATCAATCCTCACCTCCGACCCCCAGGGCCTTCCTTCCCATGAGTCTTTGCGTGGAAAACAGACACAGAGAGACACAGACAGACAGACAGACGGACGGACAGTGTGACTTTCGCGTGTGGAAATTTCCGGATGATGAGCAGGGCCTCCGACAAAGACTGTCTGTCTGTCCATCTCCTGTTGGTCTGTCTGTCTCTGTCTGCTGTGTCTGGCTCTTTCCCTGTCTATCTATCTGTCTGTTGGTTCGTGTGTCTGTCTGTCTGTCTCTCTGTCTCGATGTCTGTGTGTCTGTCTGTCTATTTGTCTGTCTGTATCTCTGTCTGTCTGTCTGTCAGTGTCTTTGATTCTGTGTCTGTCTGTCTCTCTCTCTGTGTGTCTGTCTGTCCCTCTGTCTGTGTCTCTCTGTTGATGTGTTTGATTCTGTCTGTCTGTCTGTCTGTCTGTCTGTTGGTTTGTGTGTCTGTATGAATGTCTGTCTGGCTCTGTCTTGATGTCTGTCTGTCTCTGTGTGTGTCTGTCTGTGTGTTCTTTGATTCTGTGTCTGTCTGTCTATCTGTGTGTCTAACTATCTGTCTATATCTGTCTATTTGTCTGTCTGTCTGTTCCTCTGTCTGTGTCTCTCTGTTGGTGTGTTTGATTCTGTCTGTCTGTCTGTCTGTCTCTGTATCTCTGTCTCTGTCTGTGTCATCCTTGTCTGTCAGTGATTCTGTCCGTCTGTCTGTCTTGAACTCTGCGTTGCTGTCTCTGTCTCTCTTTCCCTGTCTCTGTCTGTCTGTCTGTGTATCTGTGTCTCTGTGTCTGTGTGTCTGTCTGTCAGTCGGTGTCTTTGATTCTGTCTGTCTGTCTGTGTCTCTGTCTTTCTCTGTGTCCATCTGTCTGTCTGTGTCTGTCTCTCTGTCTGTGTGTCTGTCTGTCTCTGCCTGTCTGTCTCCGTGTATCTGTGTCTGTCTGTCTCTCTGTCCGTCTCTGTCTGTCTGTCTTTCATTCTGTCTCTCTGACCCTTGACCCCTGACCCCGGGCTGCGCCCCCTCTCCCACTTCCCGCCCCTCCACGGGGTTCAGAGGTCACGGGCGTCATCCATACCATCGATCCATCGATGAATCGATTGGTTACAGCACAGGGAGATCGCGGCCCCGCTGAGACGCAGGCCGACGGACGGACACACGGACGGACGGACGGACGGACGGACACACGGACAGATGGACGGACAGACGGACACACGGACAGACGGACAGACAGACAGACAGACAGACAGACAGACGGACACAGCCCAGACGGTGGCCCGGGCTGAGCATGGGGGGAGGGGAGGAGGACAGACAGAGATGGACAGACAGACACAAGACAGCTACATAGATAAACAGACACGAGACAGACAGACGGATACATAGACGGACAGACAGACAGAAACACAGACACAGAGACTCAAGACACACACAGACGTCGCGTAGATAGACACAGACAGACACACAGACAAGACACACACAGATATATAGACAGATACATAGAGGGACGGACAGACACACAGACAGATTCACAGACAGACGGATACACAGAGACACATGGATGGACAGATGGATGGACGGACAGACACATAGACACACTGATACCAGGAAAGTCAGACGGACAGACATAGAAAGACTCACGGACAGACAGACAAGACACAGACAGATACATAGACATACAGATGGGGAAAGGACAGACAGACTGACCGAAAGGAGATGGACACACAGACCCAGTGACAGACAGACAGGGAAAGAGACAGACAGACACAAGACACAGACAGA